ACTTAGCATGTTGTAATGCTGAAAGAAAATATTTTAACTGAAAAGGAACATTCATGAATCACGAGTAAAGCCAAGTGGGAACGGCTCCCCGTGTGCTCACCGGCCCCAGGGTGAGGGCAGCCGCGCCACCTGTCCCCAGCCCTCAGAGCTGCAGGGCCCTGGTGTCTCCGGCTCAGGGGCAGTGACTTCCTCAAGACCAAGCTGCAGAGCCCAGAGCCTGCCCAGCCACGCCCAGGCCGGGGCCGCCCACTCTGACCGCACAGGCAAAGTGGGGCTGGATGCTGGTGCCCAGCTGCTGCAGAAGGACTGTGACAGAGCAGCAGCGAGTCCCACCGTGCAGCCTGCAGCCACAGCTGGGAAAGAGTCCTGGGGCTGCAGAGGGCCGAGGGCAGGGGAGTCAAGAAGGAAGCGTCACTCAGCCTCCTGTGCTCTCGGCAAACCCTTCCCAAGCAGCACACCCACTGCTTATCTGCGCACCACAAAGGCTCAGGTAGGAAGCAGAGAGAGGGGGTGGGGCTGCCTCCCAGCAGCGCATGCACCCTATGAGGAATGGGCCTTTCTCCCTGAGAGCCCCCCGCTGACCAGCTGCTGCCCACAAGTGTGACGAGGGGGCCAGCAAGAGCCCCACTCCAAAGGCCGTGCGCTGCCCTGAGCAGCAAGGATCCAAAACTGTCAGCAGCTGGCTGTTGCCCTCAAGAAAATCAGACTGCCTGGAGACAAAGCGAACAACTCACAAAACATGGAGATCACCAGAAACACGGTACACAGAATCACACCAGATGCCAAAGGAAGGAACACCAGCTAACACTGTCCACACGGTGTTCAGGGGCGAAGCAAGACCAGAGACAGGCGGGGGAGCAGGAGAATCGACCCCTTCTGCAGGCTCCACGCTGAGCGCTCGGACAGAAAGCAGAGCAGCTGAGGGAGACACAAAGCCAGGCCGAAGCCGCGGAGACACGGGTCAGCTCCGTCCCAGCACCTTCCGTCGGTCTGCACCACGCTGAGCCAGGCAGGGCGCTGGGCACAGGGGATGCAGGAGGCAGGGAGAGCTCCGGACGGTCCCAGCCGGCAGGCTCCTGGGTTAAGTCCTCCTCTGTGCAGGGCAGCCAGCAGTAAACAGCATGTTGCGCCTCCACACCCATGGGTCCCAGCAGCTCTGTGGACACTGTCAGAAAACTGCACTGAACAGGCACCAGGGCGCGCTCGTGGTCATCACTGACCAACCAACCCCATGTGCACGGCGCTGACACCATCTTCCGAGTATAATAATCCAGGGGTGACAGGAACCCGGAGGGTGCGTGCAGGTGACTTCATATAAGGAGCTTGAGCACCCACACATTCGGCATCCAGAGAACCGGAACCGGGCCTCGGACACTGAGGGACACCTGTGGCTACCTAACAGGGTTTTGTAAGATTCAGTGAGAACATAAAGCATCTGGCACCATGCTGGTGCACACGCGCAGTGGCGGGAGGGGCGGCATCACCATCTCACAGTTGTACACACAAGGAACTGCTCACCAGGGCCCGAAGCCCTCCGAACAACAGCGTTCAGGAGGTGTGGGACACGCTTAGGTTAAAACCTCACTGTGTGGCCACAGCCCTTTGCTGCAGGGGGAGCCGGACACGCGTCCCTGCACAGCCGAGAGGGCTGGTGCTGTGTTGTCTCCACTTGAAAGGTAAGAAAAGCAAAGCTTAGAAAAGCTCAAGCAATGTTTTGCCTTAAAAAGGACAATTAAGTGGTGACACTGCTGAGCCGCACTTATTTTCTGTACCCAGTATTTTTTAAAATTTCTTTATTTTGAAGTTTTTTTCAAATGTATGGGACAGTTTTGAGAACAATCCAGCCAACTCCTGTATACCTTCTTCTCCACCCAGATCTGTCAGTTCCAACATGGTCTGCTGTTGCTTTATTGCTCTGTGTGTATTTTTTGAGCCACTGCAGGGTAAGCAGCATACACCATGCTCCTTTGTCTTTAACACCTCGGTGTATTTTAATATAGATATGGTATTTCATGCTGTACAGATATAGTTAATATTGATACATATCTGGCCCAGTAGACACATTCCGATTTTTTCAATTGTTTCAATAAAGTCCTTCACTACCGTTTTCCCTCCAGCACAAAACCTGGTCCGGGATCACTTACTGCATGTGGATCGTGTATCTTTAGTCCTTTTTGGCTTGGAACAGCTCCATCCTTTGTTTTCTATGACACTGGCCCTTGAAGGACACAGGCCAGCGACCGCAGGGAACATTCCTCACTAGCCACAGCTCCACGCGGCACAGGCCCCGTCCTGCAGCACGGCCCTGGATCTGCACACGTGGGCGTCGTGTGACACCTGTCTGCTTCTCACTGGTTACAGTAACCTGGCCACCTGGCCAAGATGCTGCCCGCTCTCATTACTGTACAGGTGCCGTTCACCACTCTCAACCAGTCAGCCATGTACGGAGACACTTAACAGCCACATGGATACCCTGTGCCTTGGCATTTAACATCCACCCAGGGTTCCTGCTCAAACAATTCTAGGGTTATGAAATGATTACTTCTGAAATCCACCATTTCATCCACAAGTATCTCTGGCATTACTCTGTAAGGAAGAGCTCTTTAGCTATCTACCTACCAACCTTCCATCTAACCGCCACACAACAGACGCATGGGTTCCTTCTGTATTCGGTGGTAAGAATCCATTACTGCCCTTATATATTTTATCGCTCAGAACTCTTAGATTTGCTTCTTCTGCTTGGTCCCTCTGTCTTCCAGATACCACTCATTCTGTCTGCACACTTGCTTGCACAACGAAATGTTCCAGGAGTAATTCGCACCTTCCCTGCCCAAGCCAGGAAATCAGCCTTTTTCCTCTAGACTGGGAGTCCATCACAGTGGAAAATGACAACCGTGACCCCTGTCTCCTTCATCTGGCACACAGGGGCAGAGCCAGAAAACTGTCCTGCCACTTTCTGGAAGACGGACACCTCTGATGGTGCCCGTAGCCATCCTCAGTGCAGGCCCTCAGGTCTGCGCCCGAACTCCTCTCTCCCGCTCCCACTCCCGCTCTGCCCCTCCACCAGGAAGCCAGTGCAGGCACCCGGATCACTCTTGGTGCCTCAGGACCCTCAGCAGGGCTGGTTGGTCCCTCTAAGCCTCAGGGACCCTCGCAGCAGACCCTGTGCTGACAGGTTTCTGAAGGAGCCGAGTCCACAACTGAAGGGGGCCAGTCCCACCCAGGGCTGGGCCCCGAGAGGACAGGATTTCTGGGGTCCTCCCTGACCCCTGTGGTGAAGGGTGACCCCTCCCCAACTTCACCTATGCGGCTCAGACAAGTGTGGCGTCCAGTACAAGGTCGCTTGCCGTGAGCTGTAGCCTCAGAATCCAAACCCAGGCCGGCCTGACTGCCAGGCACACGCTTTCCACTTTACACAGGGCGCAGTGAGTACCTTCTTCCATCCATCTATTCTTCCTCTAATGGGTGCTGTGTTTAGTGAACACCATAGACAAGGCCATTTTAAAGAAGAAAGAGCACAGTTCTGGGGACCCGAGGCTGTGGGTGGCCTCTGGTGACAGCCTTCTTGCTGGCGGGCACCCTCCACAGGGCCCTGGGCAGCTCAGGGCACCTTGAGGCAACAGGAGCTCAACCCAGAGACGCAGGCAGACTGGTCTTCACGGCAGACCCATCCTGGACAACCCATGAACCACTGACCCGTGAGTGAATGAATCCACTCGGGAGGGCAGAATCCGCGTGACCCCGTCACCACCTGCCAGCCCCACAGGACCCAGCCCGCACCCACGTGGGGAATGAACTCCGACGGGAACTTCGATGGGACGTCCAGCCACAGCAGGAGCCACGCTTCCTCTGATAGGTGTGGTCACTCTCCCTTCCATGGGTCTTAACAGCACGTCGAATGAGCTACCCAAAAGGACACACATGTGAGCTTTGTTTCTCTGGATTTCAGGAAAAAAGCAAAGCTCAGTGATTGCATACTTGAAACTCCACTTTCATGGAAACTAACTTAAGTGCTAGTGATTCCCTAACTCCACTAACTGTGGGATCATCTAACAACTTTTTAAAATGCTGATGCCTCTCGTCCTTCGTCCTTCGGTGTCTGACTTAACTGGTTTGGGGCCGACCTGAGCATCAGGAATTTTAAGAACTGCTGATGGTTCTCGTCTGCAACAAAGGTAGAAAACCACAGCCAACGGGCCGACAGGATGAGAAGTGAGTGGTGAGCGGGCCACGGCCCAGGCTGTAATGAGCAGACATCTGGAAATCAGCCTGGCCTTTTATCCATCACACAATGGTCCAGGGTGTTCTAGAAGAGCAACAAAAGCAGAAACTTGCTCTTTGATTTTAAAAATAAAACACAAAAACTTAAGCCTAATTAGAGAGGTGACTACATTATGGGCTAAGTTGAAGCTTCACTGGACAATGACCCAGGGATTGGTTAGGCGGCATCTCGCCATTCCAGGCAGTGGGTGTGGGGATAAGAGCTGGTGTGGGAGCAGAGCCAGGAAGCTTCCCCAGGAGGAGTCGGCTCTCCAGAAACAGGTCTTGAGAAAACACAGTAAGCAGCTAGTCCACATGTGGAGGTGTAGCCATTTCCTCATGAAAAGCGCACAACAGAATGGAAACCTCCTCCTCGGCTCCGTATCTTACTTCTAACTCAGACAACTCCCATTCTCCCCGAGCACCCCGAGGCGCAGACTCACAATCGAACTGCCAACGTGCCTGGGCTCTCAGTCTCCACAGGGTTAGAGCTATTCATTTCTCTGAGCCGGCCATGTGTGTAAGTGTAAGTGTGTAAGTGATTCGGCCATATGGCTTTAAAAGATACCTCCACCATGACAGGGGAGGCGCTTAGAAGCCAGGAGGCAGCCTGGCTCTCTGGACTTGGCAATTAGAGAGTATTTGGAAGTCTGCTGCACAACGTGGAAGGGTCCAGCTAGCACCACGCTGGCACCCGGCAGGGTATCCAGGGTAGAAGAAGGAGGAACGTGTCCACTAACCTGGATGTCAGCCTAACTGATGAGAAGACTCCCAAGAGGTGAGTGGGATCGACCTTGTCGGTGGTCAGCCCAGCAGTGGGCTCAGAGGTGAATGGATGCGTAGGAGATGGTGCCCACTCGGATGAAGAGGATCGTGGGGACTCTATCTCAGACGGTCCTTGCTCTCTGGCTCTCAGCCCGCTCTCTGCTTCCCAGATGCCACGACGTGAGCAGCATTCCTCCGCCACTGGCTTCTGCTATGTGTTTGTGCTTTGGAGCCAGCCAACCACGGACTGAAACCTCTGGGACTGTGAACCAGAATAAACCTCTCTTCGTTAAATTGTGTCCCAACAATGGGAAACCTAACCAATGCAAAGTGCAAACCTGCACATCTGTCAAAGTTGAAACCCCAGTTCAGAACTGGAAGTGGGGACAGGTCTGGCCTGCCATTACAGAATGGCCCAGGGTCACGGAAATTCCACCCAGAAAGATGTCTTGCTCGTCAGCAAGCACACAATACCATGCTAAGCCTCACAGCTAAGTGAAAGATGAACGAAGCATGACCCTTGCCCCAACAAGCATCAAATGAAGTGATAGAAGTAGAAAATAACATCTTTGCCCATTTCCTTAGCTGATGATCAGGCAGGTCCTAACTGAGAAATTACATTTACTCTCAGCTCTAAGAACCATCAAAAAAGTTCAGGCAGGGACACTTGGCACATAATAAAAACCGGGCCACTGAGAAAGTAAGAAGTGGCCTACTGGCTGGCTTCCTCTTTTACTCAACAAACGGCCCTGCTTTGGTACAGGACTTGTACAGGGGCCAAATAAGAGGCAGCCTCTTTCCACCCACCCTGCACCTCTGTGCACTTGCAGATGTGTGGGAACTTACGCAGGTCACCAACTGTCCCCAACAGCACTGTGCAAAGAGCTAACATGGGTGCTTTCACGCCCTGGGGCCGGAGAGTGCTGTCATCATGCCCGAAGTCGGACTGGAAACGGCACCACCAGGCTGTTATCCGTCTGAGCCTGGTTTCAGGCTCCTTTGCATGGTGTGTGGCTTGTGTGCCCCGTAGCACACAAGGAAGGAAAGAAGAGGAAAGGAACCCTAATGGCTCCAAGTACAATTTCTTCTGGACTGCTTTTCCAGTGTTCACAATGTCCACTGAAAAATGATGCTTAAATTAGTGTTAACCAGTGTATCCTTGAGAAGACCAACTTCCCAGCTATTAAGGGAAGGATGTTTAAAAATTGTCATAATTTCCCTAAAGCTTGTACTTTATTGGTCTGCAGGCAGAGAGGGAAGAAATCAGAAAGATGAGTCCACGGTGCCCTCTTTGATTTTAGAGTGCTCCTTTCTTGTCTTTGATAAACCAAGCAGGAAACTAATCAACTGTGAGAGCTTTCTGATAACATTTTTGGAACAAACTGGTCTTTCTGGACTGTACTAGCTCAGTTGGGAAAACAGGCGCTTTTCTGCTGGGACCTGTGACACAATCAGAAGGCCGAACCCTTCCTCCACAATGGCGCCCAACCAGCCGGCAATGCCCTGAACCCCAGTCGGTGCTGCACCGGACTTCCCCGTCTCATTCCTGGCCCCTCTCCCTGTCCTCCTCTCAGAAATGCCAGCGAGTTCAGTGGGGGCTCATTCCTGGAGCCCACGCAAGTTACAGGAGCTTCTTTCTTCTGCATTTGAAACTGCAGCTGTCTCATAAGTAACTCCTTTTATCACAAGCGTGGATGTTCTTGTAATGCTACCTGCAACGTGTCAAGCGTTTCCAAAGTTATCTAATGTGCCAGACAGAAACTGCTTTTGACCTCGGGGTTAACCAAAGTTAACCAACAAATCCGCCGGCTCTAAAGGCTCCCCCAGGCCCCCGCTGCTGCCGAGCTATAAATCACTGCCACTCGGGGTAGTGACACGACAGGGCATCAGGACCTCTCCTGACAGTGGACAGCTGTGATTAAATGCAGCCCTGGCTTCCTTCCTCAGTAACCAAGTATGCAGACGTTATATATAATCCTGAGCAGAGGCCTTCTGATAACCTAAACACAGACCCGAGGAGCCACGTCGTAAGTGAGCAGAGGGAAGTGTGCTCTCATCACTGTCGGGGTTCGCGTGGGAGAAACACCTAGGCCTAACTTGTGCCCCTCGACAACTAACCTGACCCCATGGCTGACTTCCGATCAGCTGTGCCCCAGTTGGCAGAGCTTCCTCTTCCCTCCTCACAGCAGGAAGTCTCGTGGGTCACCTCCCAGGCCCAGCTGAGGCCCCTCCCGTTTCCCCATCCTGGGGGAGTCTCCGGTGCCCCTCTCCCCAAAGCGAAGTGCGCTGGGCCCAACTCGGCAGCCTCTGCCCCCGTCTCTGACCGCTCATCAGTCTAACGGCTGAGCAGTGATGCACAGTGGCCGGGGGTCTGGGTCTGCTTGCTCCGTTGTGGAATTCAACCAGGCTTCAAATCTCACCATTCCTTCCCACCCCCATCAGGTGGAGCTGACAAGCACCTGCTTCAAGCTGGCATTTACTTCTGGGTACTCACATTTTAACATGGGCTAAGGGTGAGTAGCATTTCCTCCTTCCTCCTCCTCCATCCCCACCGTCATCAGGACTGATCTCCAAGCACCTGCATGATCCCCACTGAGATCACGGATTTCTAAGCCCCCTTCAGCAGCCTTGTCTGCTGTCCCTCACTGTATTTTCAGCCTCCAAACCTTCAAGAGCATCACATCCAGTTGTCCAGATATTTTTGCTGACTTTTGAGGACACACAGTTTTACTGGTCATCAGCAGAACCAGTTGCATGGAGGTTTCGGAACCACATCGTAGGGCAGCTACAGCTGGGCTTGCAGAGCTCAGAGGGAAACAGCTAGTCCCCAGTCTGTCACCCTAGCCCAAGGCCGAGTATTAATTTTTCTGATAAAAAATGCGGACCTTACTGTTTGTTCCCTTGCTGGGGGTTAGGAGGAGGGGCCAATTATTGACCACATCTTTACATTTCAATAAAAATTACTCTTCCTCCTCCGCCTCCCAAAGAGTCCTCCCAAATTAAAGAACTAAGATGGATCCAGACGGCTAAATTCTTGCCAATGAAAATGTAGAGGAATCAAGACAGGTTATTTCTTGGCTCCCTCATCTCTCCTTTGAAAAAAGTTTGCAGTGTGAGCCAGGCTGATTCCCCTGCACCACCTAAAGCCTTGGGAAACCCAGGCAGGTTCTGTCTGGAGAGGCCTGCCGCCCACGGAGATCCCAGCCCGGACTTCAGACCGGCCGCCCACCCTCCAGACCCTGAAGCCTCACAAGCAAAACACTTGAAGCAAGTTTTATAAAAAGGAAACCCCACCAAAGCCAACCCAAATGTTTTCCTTCTGTAAAATTTAAATACGTGTTGAACTGGGTTCAGCCACAGTCCTTACGCATCTAAGCTGGGCTAAGAATCTGGGAAGTAGTTTTACTGTCAAATCACCCCCACAAGATCCATCAGCAGGTGAGGGAAGGCAGGGATCCCAGTCAGTGCTCACACGTTTCTAAGCTAACAGCTCAAGTGGCCGATGGGGTATTCGCACGGAGTGCTGGCTAGTGAGAATGTGGGGGGCGCCGCCCTAAGAACTTCACATGCTGCTCTCAGGGGCCACTGACGGGCATTAGCTAATTCAGGGCACCAGGACAATACCTGGCGTTGGTAGAATGAGTGATATTCGAGCCATGTGACTGGTTGACAATCGCAGCGGCTTCCAGCACTCTGCTCCATGCTAGCACAGGCGGGGCTTGGAGCCGCACCTGAGCACAATGCTGCAGGGCCCTGTCCCTGGGCACAGGAAGACAGGCCAGCCCGGACATCGCAGTCAGGAGCCTGAACTTTCTCTGGAAGGGTGCCCTGCAGGACCAAGTCCAGAGAGAAGGGATTTCACGGAGCCTAAAGGAAAGAGTGATGAGCTGGTTTTATGCTCACTGGCTAATAAATGCCTGTCTCAGTGAAGAGCTTAACCTATCACCTGCTGTCACAGGTGTCTGGGGAAGAGAGGCTGACCCCAAACCCACAGAGAAGCTGACCACAACCAAAGCGATAATGACTTTGGTCAGTTTACGGCAGGGTCCAATATGCTGGAAGCCTTGCTTTGAAAGGAAGAAAGGGCCCCATTAAAACCCTGAACTCTGCCTGGTCCCCTGGAGAGGCAGCTTAGTGTGGCTGGGCAGAGGCCAGGCCCCAGCTGGACCGCTGGTTAGAGCCTGGTGAGTGACCAGACCATGGGGCCTCCTGTCTGCGAGCTCAACGTCAGCCACACCACCCATGAGGCGGGAGGCTCGAAGGCGCCACCCAAAGAGCAGCCCACTGGTAAAAGGAGGCCCTCAGGAACACTACCTCCCATCTTCGCAGAGACATGTAACTGCTTCTCAAGAAGCACTCAGCCATTATTTCATTATTTACCATTTCAATCAACAAACATATGTTGGGTGCCCCAGGACCATGGAGATAAAAGAACACACTGCATCCCTTTTCTCAGCTGTCCAGGATCATGTGAGTCAGACAGACGATCTCAACCTCCAGTGCACAAGGAGAATTCTGGGAAGGCCTCCTACAGGGGGTGATATTTGAAATGGGTTTTATAGAACAGGAGTTGGCCAGGGTAACTGGTTCACACATAAGCATGGATTTATTTTCCCTAAGCCAGAAACAGAAACTTTCTCATATCGATCTCAGTTCAACAAGGAACAGATTCCTCAGCGTAGTGTTTATGGACAGAAAAAAAAAAAAAGAAGAAGAAGCAAAAATTATATTAAACAAGAAGGAAGGAAAAAGCAAACAGTCAGGGTTGGAAAAGGGTGAGCGTCCCACCTCTGAGGCAGGGATGCCCATCTGCCTACTGACGGTTTGCCGGTGTGGCACGAGTGGTCTGATCATCCATTCCCCTGTGGCGCCCTGACCAAGTTACACCTGCAGCCCTCTCCTGACTCCTGTGAGCTTGACCCCTCACTGGGGCCAATCCATGGGCACACAATCTCCCTTGGAAAGGTCAGAGTGGGCTCAACTGAGGGTCACCCCAAGGAGCCTCTGAGGCCTCCAAAGCAGGTGACAGGCCATTGGGGAAGGGGTCTCCCCAGGCTAATGATGGTGGGAGCTGGCTCATGGAGCCCCAGGGCCCAGCATCAAGCCAATGCTGTCCCAAGTTTATTCATCGGGGTGACACTAGGATGAGGAACCCAGGGAAGGTCAGGAAGGGCACCCCAACGTACAGGGTGTGATCAAAACATGCAGGGTAGGTTTGAAGTTTAAGGTTTATTACAGTAAAAGACACACTGGCATGAATCC